AAATTATAGGAGTTCTTTACAAATTCTGAGTCCCAGTTTTTTGTTTAAATCTGTGTATTATGACTTTTTTCCAAATCTGTGGCTTTTCTTTTTGTAATAGTGTATTTTGAAGAAGTTTTAAATTTGGATGAAATCTACTTTATCAACCTTTTCCTTTGTAGCGGATGCTTTTTGTGTCCTGAGTAATCTTGCTTACACTGAGGATAGAGAGATATTCTCCTTTGGCAGTTTTATAGTTTTAGCTTTTATGCTTAGTTCTGTGATCCATCTTGGATAAATTTTTGTGTATTGTGTGAGGTAGGAGTCAAGGATCAATTGGTATTATATTGACATCAAGGTTTTCTGGTAGAATTTGTTAAAAAGAATATAATTTCCCTATGGAATTGCCTTGGAAGCTTTGTTGAAAATGAATTAATTGTGTATATGCGAATGCATTGTCTTTCCTTTGACCTGTCTGTGTGTTCTTCACATATACTACACTGACTTGATTATGTAGCTTATAGTAAATCTTGAAATCAGGTTTTATAATTCCTCCAACTTTGTTCTTTTTCAAAATTGTTTTGACCATTCAAAGTCCTTTGTATTTCCAAATAAATGTTAGAATTAGCTTGCCATAACTGCTGAGATTTTGACTAGATGAATTTCGGCAGACTTGGCAGCTTCATAGTATTGAATCTTCCAATTCATGAATAAGGTTAATTTTTCCTAAAGTTATTTATCTTCTTTAGTTTCCCTCTGTAATGTTTTGTACTTCACAGTGTAGAGATCTTGCAAGGTTTTGTTAAATATATTCCAAAGTATTTTATGTTTTTAGATGCCACTGTAAGTGGTATTGCTTTTGAATTTTCATTTTCCAATTATTTTTCCCACTGCAGGCATACTCCATAGATATTGTGGGTTTAGTTCCAGATGACCACAATAAAGAGAATATCACAATAAAATGAGTCACATGAATTTTTTGATTTTCCAGTGCATATAAAAGTTATGTTTATACTATACTGTAGTCTATTAAGTGTGCAGTGTCTAAAAAACAATGTGCATACCTTATTTAAAAAATACACTTTTGCTAAAAATGCTAACCATCCTCTGAGCCTTCAGCAAGTTGTAATCTTTTTGCTGGTGGAGGGTCTTGACTCGATGTTGATTGCTGCTGGTTGATCAGGGTTGTCATTGCTGAAGCCTGAGGTGGCTGTGGCAATGTCTTAACATGAGACAACAGTGAAGTTTGTCACGCAGTTTGACGCTTCCTTTCAGAAGTGATGTCTCTGTAGCACGCGATGCTCTTTGACAGCATTTTGCCCACAGTAGAACTTCTTTTAAAATTGAAGTCACTCCTCTCAAACCCTGCCGCTGCTTTATTAACTAAGTTTATGTAGTATTCTAAATCTCTTTTGTCATTTTTACTATTTTCACAGCGTCTTCACTAGGAGTAGATGCCATCTCAAGAAACAACTTTCTTTGCTCATCCATTTAACCTGATTCCTTAAAGTTTTATCATGAGATTGCAACAATTCAGTCACTTCTTCAGGCGCCACTTCTAATTCTAGTTCTCTTGCTGTTTCTACCACATGTGCAGTCACTTCCTCCACTGAAGTCTTGAACCCCTCAAAGTCATCCATGAGGGTTGGAATCAACTTCTTCCAAGATCCTGTCAATGTTGATATTTTGACCTCTTCCCATGAATCACAAATGTTCTTATTGGCATCTAGAATGGTGAATCCTTTCCAGAAGATTTTCAATTTACTTTGAAAGGTATTTCTTAAATAACAGGACTTGAAAGTCAAAATTACTGCTTGATCCATGGGCTACAGAATGGATGTTGTGTTAGCAGGCACAAAAACAACATTAATCTGGTTGTACATCTCTATCAGAGCTCTTGGGTGACCAGGTACATTGTCAATGAGCAGTAATATTTTGAAAGGAATCGTTTTTTCTGAGCAGTAGGTCTCAACAGTGGGATTCAAATATTCAGTAAACCATGTTGTAAACAGACGTGCAGTCATCCAGGCTTTGTTGTTCCATTTATAGAACACAGACAGAGTAGATTTAGCATAATTCTTCAGGGCCCTAGAATTTTCCAAATGGTAAGTGAGCACTGGCTTCAACTTAAAGTCGCCAGCTGCATTAGCCCCTAACAAGAGTTGGCCTGTCCTTTGAAGCTTTGAAGGCAGGCATGGAATTCTCTCTAGCTATGGAAGTCCTACGTGGCATCTTCTTCCAATATAAGGCTGTTTCACCTACATTGAAAATCTGTTGTGTAGTGTAGCTGGTTCTTCTGGATAACTTGCTGCACCTTCTACATCAGCACTTGCTGTTTCTCCTTGCACTTTTATATTATGGAGATGGCTTCTTTCCTTAAACCTCATGAACCAACCTCTGCTAGCTCAAACTTTTCTTCTGCAGCTTCTTCACTGCTCTCAGCCTTCACAGAATTGAAGAGAGTTAGGATCTTGCTCTGGATTAGGCTTTGGTTTAAGGGAATGTTGTGGCTGGTTTGAGCTTCTATCCAGACCACTAAAACTTTTTCCATACCAGCAATAAGGATGTTTCATGTTATCATTTATGTGTTCTGTGGAGTAGCACTTTTAATTTATTTCAAGAACTTTTCCTTTGCATTCACAACTTGGGTAATTGTTTGGCACAAGAGGCCTAGCTTTTGGCCTATCCTGGCTTTTGACACACCTTCCTCACTAAACTAAATCATTTTTAGCTTTTGATTTAAAGTGAGAGTTGTGCGAATCTTCTTTTCACTTGAACACTTAGAGGCCGTTATAGGGTTATTAGTTGGCCTAATTTCAATACTATTGTGTCTCATGGAATAGGGAGGCCTAAGGAGAGGGAGAGAGATGAGGAATGGCTGGTCAGTGGAGCAGTCAGAACACACACAACACTTATCGATTAAGTTTGCTGTTTAATGGGTGTGGTTTTTTTTTTTTGAGGAAGATTAGCCTTGAGCTAACTGCTGCCAATCCTCCTCTTTTTGTTGAGGAAGGCTGGCCCTGAACTGACATCCGTGCCCATCTTTCTCTACATTATATGTGGGACGCCTGCCACAGCATGGCTTGACAAGTGGTGCTATGTTCTCACCCGGGATCTGAACTGGTGAACCCTGGGCCGCAGGCTACGGAAGTGGAATGCGCAAACTTAACTGCTGCGCCACAGGGCCAGCGCTGTGGTTTATAAATTCTGATAGGGTGTGATCATTCATTTAAAACGTTTTCTGATTTTCCTTGTGATTTCTCTTTGACCTGTGGATATTAGATATGTGTTGCTTCATTTTCAAATATTGCGTATTTTCCTATGTGTTTTATTATTACTAATTTCGGATTTAATGTTGTTATGGTCAGAGAATATGATCTGTGTGATTTCAGTCCTTGAATTTGTGGAAACCTTTTTTATGATCTGGCATATGATCTATCTTTGTGAATGTTTCACATGCACTTGAAAAGAATATGCTTTCTGTATTGTTGATGGTAGAGTTCTATAAATGTTGATTTTGTCAAATTAATTGATAGTGTTGTTCTAATCTTCTCTATTCTTATTAATTTCCTTTTCTGTTTTTCTCATCAGTTACTGAGAGAGGAATGTTGTAATCTCTAATCATAGTTTTTGGCTTGTCTATTTCTCTCTTCCAATTCTGTCATATGATGTAAAGCTATGTTATTAATTGGATATATCATTTGGAATTCTCATGTTTTCCAGATGAATTGACTTTTTTATCATGAAATTTCCCTCATTTCCTCTGGTAATATTCCTGAAGCCAATATTGTTTGGCTTAATACTCTAGCTTTTAAAGCTTTAAAACCCCAGCTTTCTTATACTTAATGTTTTCATGGTATATCTTTTTCAGGTTTTTTAATTCCAATCTGATTGTATTTTTATTGTTAATTCTTATAAATAGCATGTAGTTCAGTCTTCTTTTTTTTCCCAGTCTCACCATCTTTGGGTGTCTGTAGATTTCATGTTGTTTGGCAGAAGTAAAGGTCTTTCACATTATTCTACATTTTAAGCAAAAGTAGAACTCAAACTGTCAAACTCTTAACTTTTATTTACCTCTTAACTTAGAAATTATCTTCACATGACACGTCCACGACCCTCTCAGATGTAGTTAGGTCTCCGTTCTTCATGTTTCGATAGCACCCTGCAGCTCTCCCAACTGTAGCACTGTATCACATACCCTGCATTGTAATAGTCTGCTATACATACTAGATTGTAAACATTTTGACAAGCAACTGAATTTTGTTTATTCTTGTATCCCTGATACCTCATACATGCCCTGGCCCAGAGTGTGTGCTGAATTTATAATAGTGGAATAAATAAATAGTTGGGTGAACGAATGAATGTTTTAAGAGAAATAAACTAACCATGTAATGTTCAGGATATATTTTTGTATCTGAAAGTGTGTGTGTTTGTAATTTTTTGAGATCAGAGGTAAGAGGAAGTATTAGAGAAGACATAAGAGAAGAGATAAAATAGGAATTAGGCCATGTAATATGAATAAAATATTCAGTCATAGATATAATAAGATGCATCAAACCATTCAAAATTTTCCCTTAGAATGCAGTGGTTTCTCAAAACTGTCCTAGGTTTCAGGAGCGTGCAAACCAAGTCTGCATTGTCTGTTGCTATATTCCTAGAGTCCAGGGCAGAGCCTGGGATGATGTGGGTTTTCTCTCTCCCTCTAACTCTATCTTTCAATCTACTTAACACACATATATGTGTATATATAAATAAGAATATATCTAATTTTTAAATGAGTAAATATTAGAAATAGGAGACCTACAATCATCTTATATTATTCAGGAGAAAATTGAGTTTCATAGAGGTGAAATTGCTGGTCCAAGGCCACACAGCTAGTTAGCAGCAGGACGAGGACTTGTAGGTTCCTAAATCAGTATTTGTTCTACTTCCCACAACATGCCTCTTGTTGGCAGTTTTACAGATGGAATTCTGTCACTTTGATGTATTAATATTGACTTTGGATTTCACTTCTGATTTAGATGGAGTATCAAGAACTAGATTTATCCTCCCACTTGAAACAACCGAAAAACTGGATAAAATATGTGAAACAATGGCTTTCAAGGTCTGAGAATCAAAGAACAGTGATCCCTGAGAGATGGGAAACAAATGAGGTGAGCCTTACAATTGCCTCAGTTTACTGTCTTGAGAGGGCTTCTAGTAACGGTGCAGAGGGCTGGAGGCACATGCAGAAAGATACCAAGAGCTGAGGAGACAGAGTTGTGAGTAGAGTGATTAAGGCATGCAAAGTTCACAGTACAGAGGCCTGAAGAGGCAAGAAATGCACAGAGCCACAGGGGGCTGCATTTGACTATTCAGCAGAGTACTGATCAACATGTGTGTGATAAAGCCAGCTGAGGTAAGGAAAGAACTATTCAAAAGGATTAGAAGGAAAATCATCAGGTATGCACAAAGGTACCAGGAAAAGTGCTGTTCCTACCAGATTGGAAAACCTTACAATTCATGGGCATGAGTGGAGTACACAGAAGGATCACTTGATAGTGAGGAATAATTAGCTGCAGACTGAGTGCTCTTATAGTCTTGCCTAATAAATCCTAAAAGCAAGACCTAAAAGGATCAAATTGACTCCAGGTAACTAACTGTATCCCAGATGAAGCTCATGAAAATGTATAGCAATACGAAAATATGCAGCACTCAAGGAGGTCAAATTTATACTGTCTGGTATCCAGTGAAAAGTTACCATGCATTCAAAGAGGCAGCAGAAGGTAATCTATAAAAGGAGAAAAGTCAGTTAATCAAAATCTACCCACAGTTGACACAGATGTTAGAATTAGCAGAGAATGACATTCAAACAGTTATTATAACTGTATACCACACATTCAAAAATTCAGTGAAGACATGGAAAATACAAAAAAGTATCAAATTCAACTTCTAGAAATAAAAATCATAAAGCGTATAATGAAAAATACACAGGATGGAAATAAGGACAGATTAGACATTGCAAAAGAAAAAATAAGTGAACTTGACAGAGCAATAGAAACTATCCATAATGAAACAGAGTGAGGAAAAAGTGTAAAAATATGAATAGAGCATCAGTAAGCTACGAGACAACTTCAAATTGCCTACTTACGTGTCATTGAAGTCTCTGAAGAAAAAAATGAGGCGAGATAGAAAAAATTTTGAAGAAATAACAGCCTAAAAAAAAAAATCCACAAATTGATGAAAACTATAAATGAATCAATCCAAGAAGCTCAAAAAACTCTAAGCATGAGAAACAGGAAGACAACTACACAAAGGCAATTCCTGATCAAACTGCTCAAAACCAGTGATAATGAGAAAATCTTAAAAGCAGCCAGAGAAAATGAGACACGTTACACACAGAGGGACAAAGATAAGAAATGCAGCAGATTTCTCATCAGAAACAAGTCAAGTGAGAAGATAGCGGAGCAAGATCTTCGCAGTAATGAAAGAAAAAAACCCTGTCAACCTAGAATTCTACACTTAGAGAAAATATCTTTTAAAAATGTAAGTGAGATAATGACTTTTTAGACATATAAAAACTGAAAGAATTAATCACTAGCAGACTTGTTCTACAAGAAACATTAAAGGAAGCTCTTTGGGCAGGAGGTAAATGATTGATACTGGATGAAAATATATACAAAGGCATGAAGAGTATCAGACATGATCATGGTAACTATCTAGATAAATATAGATTGTTTTCTTATTATTTGAATATCTTTAAAAGGTAATGAATGGTTTGAACAAAAATTAAAATGATGTAGTATGGGGTTTATAATATGTCAAAACAAAATGTATGACAACAGTAGCACAAAAGCCTGGAGAGGAGAAATAGAAGTATACTATGCATGAAGTGGTACAAGATTATTTGAATGTAGACTGTTATAAGTAAAGTATATACTATTAAGCTTAAAATAATTACTAAACAAACTCTACAAAAACAGAACAAAAAATCAAAATTATAGCTAATAAAAAGTCAAGAATGCTGATTAAATGTAATTATAAAAAATAATCAGTTAGTCCAAAATAAGACAGAAAGAAAGGAAAAGGGTAAAAAGAAATAGATGGAACAAATAGGAAGATAATAAAATCAAATTTAACCATATTAATAATCACATTAAATATAAATGATTAAAATACACCAATTAAGAGACAGAGATTGTCATATCGGATCCAAAAGCAAGACTATACTATATGTTGCTTACAAGAAATGTACTTTAAATATCAAGACGTAAATTGATGAATAGTAAAAGGCTGAGAAAAGATAATGCACAGAGGAAAAAGCTTAGAAAGATAGAAAATGGATCAATGGAACACAATATTGAGTCCAGAAATAGATTCCCACTTACATGGACAACTGATTTTCAAAAACTGTTCAAGAGCAATCCAGTGGAGAAAGAATAGTCTTTTAAACAAATACTGCCTGAACAATTGCATATCAAGGTGCAAAAGAACAAACCTCAATTCATACATCATGTCATATACAAAGGTTAACTCAAAGTGCATCATTGATGTAAATGTACAAGTGAGAGCTATAAAACTTCTAAATAAAAATTTTTACAACCTTGAATTAATTGAAAGTTTCTTATAATACCAAAAGCACAATCCATAATAGAAAAAAAAATTGATATGTCGTACTTCATCAATTAGAAACATTTTTCTTTTTGCAAGACACTGTTAAGAGCATGAAAAGACAAGACACATACTGTGAAAAGATATTTGCAAATCATATATCTGATAAAGAATTTTCATCCTGGCTATGTAAAGTGCATTCAAAACTCAATAACGAGAAAACACGTGACCTAACAAAAAAAATAGGCTCAAGTTTTGAACAGATACTCTACCAAAGAAGACATATAGATGGTAAATAAACATGTGATGAAAATCATCAATGCTATTGGTACTTAGGGAAAAGCAAATTAAAACTACAATGAAATAACACTATGTACCCATTGGAATAGTTAAAATTAAAAAGACTGACCATATCAAGTGTTCACAAAGATGTGAAGGAATTGGACCTCTCATACTGCTGGTGGTGACATAAAATGTTTAACTAGTTTGGAAAACAGTTTGGCAGTTTCTAAAATGTTATACATAAACTATCATATGATTCAGTCCTTCCACTCAAGTGAAATGAAAGCATACATCCGTACACACATTTGTACATAAATATTCAGAGCAGCTTTATTTGTGTTATTTGCATTACTTCTATGCACAACAACATGGATGAATCTCAAAATAATTATGTTGAGTGAGAGAAGCCAGCCTAAAAAAAGAGGACACAAAGTATGATTCCATTTATATAAAATTCTAGGTAATGCAAACTAATCTAGAGTGACAGAAAGCAGATCAGTGGTTGCCTGGAGTAGAGAATATTAGGAGGTGAGATTATAAGGTGCATAATGAGTCCACTGGGGGTAATGGGTATGTTTATTATTTTGATAGTGGTGATGGTTTCACAGGAATATATATAACAAAATTTATCAAATTTTATTCTGTAAATATGTGTTGCTTATTGTATGTTAGTTATATCTCAATATAGCAGGTAAAGAAACTATCGATACTGTGTAACTTTCATGAGAAATTCATTATTTATCTCTCTGCTTAAGATGAGAGATATATGCTAGGCAAAACAGAAATTTAATCTTTTCTGGAAACATTTTTATCATTTAAATATCTACATGGAAATAAAGCTAAGTTATATAGCATAATTCCAGGCCCAAAGATGGAAAACAGAAAAATGTAAGTTCAAGAAGCTGAAACCTTGGCTCCCTCTGGCATTTTGTTAGTATGCATAGTTGGAGCCATGTATTTTCATAATGTTAATGATGAACATAACTGTTGAGTTGAATTTTAAGTCTCAAAACTAAACTAGCTATCACTAGGAACTATGTGGAGCCCAATTATAAATGAATTGAATTGTAATTGTAAATTGCTGAATATAGTAATTATTGTGGCAGATGTACAATAATTATTTTCTAGCACTAAGACTTTTACTTTGTGATTTTTGCAGTACCTTCCAAAAGAGGAGAAGTAGCTTTGGATAGTCAGAATTGAGTTTGGAATCTGAAGGCTTTTTAGGATTTATTTTTCTGCAGCAAACCAGGGCTTGTGTGTTGGCAAGCAATGCTGCTGACAGAAGATTTTGGCTCCAGAATCACAGAGAATAGAGTGTGTGATAGTGAAAGAGCTAGATAATAAAACTGGGCAATGAAATGTATGATTTTTGAGTAGGATGTAAATACACAAAGAAAAATACTACTGATTTGCTGGTAATAGCTAGCTGACAAGTTACCATAACAATTGAGCAAAACTTTAAATGAAATTCTTTCAGAGTGTTCATAGTCTCACGATGTAAAATATGAAGTAGTACCAAGAAGGGGGATTTGGGAGTTGGGCAAATTTGGGTTGGAATCCCAGGTTCACCACGTATCAGCTATAATCACTAGGAAGATGTGTGGTTTCCTTATCTATAAAATGGAAATAATACGTACCATTGTAAGGTAAGAGAGGTAGCAGAGATAATGGATGTTACACTTTCAACCCCTTCTCTACAGAGTTCAAGTAAGAATTAGAACTCTTCTCTATGAAGTGCCTAGTATAATGCTTCACACATAGCACAAAGTAGGTGCTCATAGGCATTATTAAAGAAACTTGGGTAAGGATCTGAACTAGGAGTCAGGGGACCTTGTCCTAGGTGCAGTTTTGTCACCAAATAGCTGTGTGCTCTCAAGCAAGTCACTTGTCACTTCTTTTTGAGCTAAAGACCACTAATGCTCCATCTACCTTTGCAATTCTATACTTGCTTCCTTTTTCTGTTCTTTTTAATTATGATAAAGAAAATAATACAAGGAACAAAAATTCAAACAGTGAGTGGAGAAGGAAATGTTGATCCCTCTCATCCAGATCCTTAGCCACTACTAACTGTCTCTTATGTATTCTTCAGGAACACTATTTCTGCGTTTGTGTGTGTGTTTACTTTTACACAATAAGATACACATATTAATCTAGATATACTGTTCTAGATCTTAATTGATTTTTTCCCAAGTACCAATTTATCTTGAAGATCTTTCCATGTCAGTACTTGCACATCTGCTTCATTTTGGTTCATGTCAACGACATTAGCTGCATTATATTCCAAATAAGTAGAAGTAATATAGTTTATTTAATTAGTCCTCTATTAATGGATATATAGGTTATTTTTCCTTTGTTTTTAAAAATGGTGCAGCAAACATTTATTCGTGCACATTATTTTTTTGCCTATGCTTAAGTTTATGTGTAGGATGAATTTTCAGAAGTGGAATTGCTGGGTCAAAGGGTGTGTGTTGCAAAATTTTAATAATATTCTCAAATTGTTCTCCAAAGAGGATGAATCAATTTATATGGTCACTAACTATTTATTTGTAATTATTTTCCCACATACTTACCAATACTGTGATAACTTGCTTTTTTGCAGAGTAAGTTTTTCGATAACACAATTCAGCTCATCCTCTATTTGATCACATTTTTTTTCTTATAGAAATCACTCAATTTAACAAATATTTAATCTTGTAAAAGTTAATTGTGTGTGAAGTATGGTATGAGATGTTTGGAGAAGTCAAAATTCATCGAATACATTTTCTAACACAATTGAGAGAGGCAGATGTACTCTGGCCTCAGATTACCTTTCCCACATTGTCTATTTGTAACAACTTTTGTGATTTTGGGATTGAAAGTAAGCAAATTTCATGAATATTTTAAGTAAGTACTGGTAGTGTAATGAATATGTTAAGTAGGCGTGAGAACACCCATGAATATATTAAGTGGGAGAATGATTAACATGGACTATACAGCCATAGCTTTGTACAAGCCTGTAACAGTGAAAAAATGCAGAAGGTAGCAAATGAGCATGTAGGAGAGAGAGGTTAGTGAGCTGTGGCTGCACTGTCCATGCTAATCATTCACCTCTATCTCCTATATGCTCGTTTGCTACCTTCTGTGTTTTTCACTGTTACAGGCTTCTACAAAGGGATGTGAGTGGGGATTGATGACTTATCATGTCTCCTTTATGGCTCCTGCAGGTTAGTTGACTCACTACCCCAACCATCTACAACTAGATTAAAATACTTCTGCATCGCTATGGAAAAGAGATCCCCACTGGAAAACAACAGCGTATAAATGAGCAGTCATGCACTATAATCAGGACAACACGCAAAACAGTAAACATAGATGCAGCTTCTGGAAGCAAGAAATACATGACAGGAGGAGCGGGGAGGGATGATGAGAATTAGTGGAGAGGAACCTACCGACAGCTGACTTCTATGCGAGAAAGACAACAGCAATAGCAAAATACAAAAATGAAGACAAATAATGGCCACACTGAAGTTCCTACAGGCCTTGTGTTGGGTTTTTAATATTCATCTTTATTCATTTTAGGCTGAATGTACACATGAGGCATTCTGTATCAGAGACACGTTCCTGATTAAATGCTACACAGTAAATAAGTGTGCTGGCGTCCTCTTTGCCCTCGTCCTGGCCCTTGAGATGAGAACCATGTCAACGTCTTAAGCAAGTAGCTGGACATAGGCAAGAGATGAGGAGAATGATTTTTCTCTGCACACAGAGGGGAAGGAGGCTGCTGTCTCCCATCTCTCCTGGAAGGGTTTCCTCCTGACTCTAGCCCTGTGGTATGCAAATAAAATCTCTCCAGGAGCTTGATAGTCCCTTGCCTCTATCTAGGCTTTTGTGACAAAGCAGTATCCCAAGGTGAGGGGCTCATTCCTCCTTGAAATGGAAATACCTAGGGACATAATGCTCCCTTCTCCAAACACCTTCTGAGCGAATCTAGCTCCCTATCTTGGGACTACCCACTTGACTTTCGGGAGAGAATAGAAGTTTTAAGGTACATATCTAACCCTGATGGTATGTAGAAATATTTCTAGAAGTGAAGTAAGCTTTCCCTCTCTTTAGGGTATGTATGTTTTTGAATCTCAGGAGGCTAAAGCTTTGTACAGGATCACTGACAAATTCTGGCCAGTTTTATTTCCCGACCCTTTGGGAAGGCTGTATCCTGGCATGCAGTGGCCACTGAACAATTATGTCATTCAAGTTGTCCCTGGTCTTTACTCGATGCATTGTCTTGCGGATGAGAAGGGATTGGGAGTCGTCATTTATCATAGTCATCATATGCCTTGGGAGTAAAGGAAGAGAGTTTTTAATTTTTTTAATTTGGAGGGATTTTAGCATGTTTTGTAGAGGAGCTGGTTCTGAAGCTGGTACTTAATAATGGGCAGGAATTGTCAAACAGAAAGAGGGGTTGGAGACCTTTCCACCTAGAGCAGTGCTTCTCAAAAATTTCCGGTAGACGACTCCTAAGGGCAAAAGGGAGTGACCACAAACCTGTGGGTGCTGCCGCTGCTGCCAATAGTGGTGGAGAGAATAGTTAGACTTATCATTTCCTTGAAGTTTCATTTGAATTTCGCATTCAAATGCAAATAATAAAGTTTGACTCTCATATCTTTGTGATCAAAGCTAAGCAGTGTCCTGGTTTCTCCTCCTCTCTTACATCCTGGGGAAGAACAGTTTCTCAGTTTAGGAAACTGGGAAATAGATGGATCATCACAAGCAGAGCCCTGGAGGTGGGACTTTGCGGTGTCTGGGAGGGGGAAATTTTCCTCTTACCTCTTGAGTTCTTCTGACTGGACTAATAAAAAAATAACTCAAGGCAGATTAACAGGGGAAAAACCAATTTAGTTTCATACCCATGAGATCCTAAAAGTGATGCTCATGTTACCAAACCAAAGTGGGTTCTCTCCTGGCGAGTTAAATCAGACTCTGCAACAGAAGTAGTTGTCTCACAAAGTAAAGTATATTTGCAGCAAGTAGGAGACCATGAGGAATCATTTCCAGAGTCATGGCATCCCCAAACAAAGGGAAGCAGAGACCTTTCATTTTGGTTGCGGAATGAGTATTCAAAAGGGAGCGGTGGGTATTCGCTTGCGCAGGCTCAGTTGGAAAACATGCTTCCACACACACTGCAGGTGCTGGTAATAAGGCCTAAGCTCCTCCTGGAGAGATCTTAGCATTAAAAGCAAAGATCATAGGTGTAGCTCTCGGTGAGGCTCGGTAGGATTCAGGGCTGTTGGTTATTGCATCTCCTTAACATAAGAAAAGGAAAACAAACAATTTGGAAAAACAGTTAAATGCTTCCAAACCCACCCTTGAGTTCCTTGGGGGTAGTCAGTGACACTCAGAGGGTGACTAAAAGGCTTGCAGCTTTATATCTTTTACATAAAAAAACAATAAATTTGTGAGGATTTGACAGGACAAAGAAACTGAGGTTTGAATGCTTCATTAGTAAGGAATTGAAGCAGACTTTGAGCTTAGGGTAATAATTGGTAAAAAATGTAACCAGATTTGTTTATATAGGCATCTTGGCCCTGAATTGCCTAGCTCTGGTGATAAGGACATCTTTCTCTCTCCTCTGCAGGGAGGGTATGTTTCACACGGGAGATACAGTTTCTGCTTTTGCATATGGAACAAAGAGAGGGGAGGGTCGGAGTGCTCTTTCTGCACGGGCTGTTTTCCCAAGTAACTCTAATTCAAAACAATCAATATGCCATTGTGGAGGCTGTCCCAGTGGCCGAGTGGTTAGGTTCACACACTCTGCTTTAGCGGCCCAGGGTTTCACTGGTTCGGATCCTGGGCGTGGACACGGCACCGCTTGTCAGGCCATGGTGAGGTGGTGTCCCACACAGCACAACCAGAGGCACTCACAACTGGAATATACAACTATGTACTGGGAGGCATTGGGGAGAAGAAAAAGAAGAAGAAAAAAAAGAAGATTGGCAACAGGTGTTAGCTCAGGTGCCAATCTTAAAAAAAAAATGCCATTGTGGCATATTTTGGGGTGGCCTGCCTTGGGCCCCAACAAAGGGGAAGTTTGAAGAAATGTGAATTGGTTATTGAGGCTGGACAGTGTAGGGGGGCACATCTAGTTGGCAGTCATGTTGGAAAGATAGCGGACAAGGCAGCACACTGTGTAGGTCCTTGAATGCCATGCTAAGAAATTAGAATTTTACTCTACAGGAATGAAAATCTATTTATGGTCTTGACAAGCAAAATGCTGAATCACTTCAATCTTGCAGAAGGGAGAGGATGACTTAGTGGAAAAGATTCCCTAGAAAGCTCTGAGGGTGAGAGAAACGTGGGCCTGATTTAGGATCTTGACCGTGGGGAGAGAAAAAGCAGGTGGAGATCTATGTTGAGCTGGGAATAGAACCCATATTGGATATGAGACATCAGGATGAAATGAGTAGAAGATGATTCCAATGCTTGTACCCAGAGCAATTGAGAGGCTAGTAAGTCTTCATCAGAAATGGGCAGTAGAGTAGGTTTAAAGAGAGAAGGAGTTCTCTTCTGGATTTGTTAGAAGTGAGAAGGCGATAGAATATGCAGGTGGCTGCCTGTACCTGGAAAAGGACACCTGAACTCAGAAGATGGGTTGGTAATCTTCCACCAAAGAAACAGTCAAATCCAATTGAGTTTATGTGCATGGATTCAGTAGATGGTTTCTGTTCTTGGTATGCGGAAATGATCACCACTAACATCAATTTCATGTGACCTTGTAAATCTTCTAATGGTGACTCCAAAATCACTATAGTGGATCAGAAATGGCTACTGGAATTGACTTGTAGCCAAAAGAAAGTGTGTTAATTTGTCCCAGTCATTGTCAACTGTAGAAAGTTAATGAATGAAAGAAAGGAGGAGACTGCTAACATTGTCTGTATTTCTCAGGATGTTTCCCACTCACCAAGGACCCCAAATGGGGCAGTAGCTCCTGCTCCTTCACATGCTGCCTTCGTTCTCAAGATGCACCACGTCCTCAAGTTACTTTGTTATTTAAGATTTGGAACTAGTGGAAGAAAGAGAAAATTGAGGGGCAAAAAACCTAATTTCTTGAAGACTCTTGACCTCCTTCCCTTGATAGGATATACTCCAAAGCAAGAGTATATTTCTCTTCCTATGTTTTGCTTCCCCCCACCTTCATGTTCAAGTTCAAATATACCAAGTAGTATTATTTTAAGATCAAATCAAATTATACTCAGGATACATTTTTATTTCTGAATTTACCAGGTAGACCTTATAATATCTTAAAGGTAAATGTAAAAAATTAGTATTCCCTCCCACCACCCCCAGAATTTTTTTCAAGCTTCAAAATCTATAAAATAAAATTTCTTTAGTAATAGTAAAAATACATATTAATTCTAAAGGAGTGTTGTATCTATTCTCACTGGGTCATAATTGCAAAAGTAATATATACTCATTGTAACAAAATCCAAGTTGACGTTTCATCTCAACAATCTCCCACTCTCCATCAACAAATCCACTCTTTCTATGTTAAGACTATTCATAGTAGTTTGGTGTTTATCTCTTCAGACCTTTTATATTTGCATGAACATTTAATCATATATATATACACACACACATATAGTACCATGTATGTGTAGTCCTATATATATGTATATATAATGTGTGTAGTACTATATATATATGTATATATAGTCATATATAGTTTTTAAAAAGAGAAACATGGGTATCCCTCAATCTTCTTATTGCTTATGTATTATCCCATAGTGTAAATGTGCTATAATTTAACTGTCCCCTTTTTGGTAAAAATTTAGATTGTTGACAAGAAAGTCTGCGTTTAAAATAAGCATCAGCTACTGGGATGCTAGTCATGGTGCAAATTAAGTCAGCTGGTGAGTGAATAATGAATCCATTTCAAATTTCTATTTTGAAAACCTTGCTTAAATTTGTTGTTTAAAATATTTGTTCACATGGTGATACTATTGATGACGAAGATGAGAGGAAATGGTCACTCTCAGATTCTGCAGGTAAGAGTGAAAATTAATGCATCCTTGCTGAGAAAGAATTTGGTGATATGTATCAAGAGTTTTAAAATGATTTGTCTCCTTCAATCTAGTACTTCCATTGCTAGGAATTAATTTCAAAGTAATAATCAATGCTGTAGAAAAAGATTTATGGATGTGGATATTTAATAGTCTTATTTATAATAGAAAAAACATGGAAACAAATGCTAATTAGTGATTAAATAAATTATGGCACATTAGTATGACTGAATTATAGTTTACAGCCAAAATAACCATGTTTTCAAAGCTTTAGTTGCCTGAAAAATGCTTACAATATAAAGTCAAATGAAGAAAGCAGGTGTTATTGCTTGAAATGTCTTCTTTATATTTCTATATTTTTCAGTTTTCCGGAAGAAATATATTTTTTACCTAAAGAATAAACATTGCTACGATAATTTTTGCTGGAAGAGATATGTTTACGTACAAAATGTCTTTAGCTACTTCCTGTTGACAGAGCTGATGGAAGTTACTAGGGTATCTAGGGGTGTCTTCAAACGGGGAGCATCGTTTCGTTTCAGTGTGTGAGGTGAGTTGGGATTGCATCTAGTGGATATGCTGCCTGGGGAAGGGAGCTCTCACAGTGAATAAGAGGATGAAGGACTCATTAGGGGGCTGTAGC